AGATTCCGTAGAAGGCCCTAATCAAATCCGGCAGTAAGAAACCAAATGCAGAGCGCTTAACAGTTTTTCCTTACTCTATTTCCGCTAGCTGCTCACCTTTCCACTGTATTGCTGTTAAGTATGAGCTTCAGAACTCTTTAACGCATTCCGGACCGGCGTTATGCGAGGACTTCCGCATAATTTCGTTACTTTTCAAACCGATAATGAGCTATTTCATTTGTTCCTTTCACTTTTCTATGAGATATTTGTATATGTGTGTCTATAAATCGTGTCCTGATAACTTCGGAGCATGAATGAAGATGCCAAATAGACCGTATGAAACGGCGCAGAGAGAAAAAAGTATGACACACCATGTGTGTCACGCGGTCCGGAACGTGTTAAAACGCGATTTTGTGGCTTGTTCCAAGTTCTTTTTCCCAGCTGTAGTTTCTGCTAACTTACATGTCTCACCACTGAAGGCTCCTATCAAGTGTCAACGAAGCTCATGCACCTGCACAACTTCACATGAGTTTACAAGTACCCACTGGAAGCATCGGCAATGATCGATAGGAACTAGCAAAATGCCCCTACCAAGCCGAACCAACCAGTCGAGGTCAACTATTCCATTTGCAGGTGGTGTTCAGAAGCAGCTCAGCTGAACGGTGCCTAATGACTGCGTCCGCCGCAGCATCTGCAATGTTCAACCTTACCGAGGATGGACAGCCAATTTCTGTTCCAATATTCACTGTTCCCAAGAAAGACGATTACGTACGTACATGATCGCATTCGGATGAGGGGGGGGTGGCATTTGCACTTTCGCTACTTCCCATCGTCATGCTCATTGCTTTACAAGAGTTGACTAGTGGTGGTCTCTACAATTTGACTGGTGTCACTGGCCTCACAAAACGACACAGGTCTCTACTTGATGGCTAGACAGGATGATAGGAAGTAGCGAAAGTGCGGAATGCACCCCCCCCCCTTCTCAAGTCGAATCGCGCTTAACTTTCTTGTCACAATAAGTTTTATCATTTTCAGCTTTGTGTTCCTCGCCTTGAATGCCCATTTGTATTACGAGAAATGACAGAGCTCCTAGGAATCTCAGATACTTCACCTCCATTGGTAAGCTTTCGAGATTTTCGCAGCACAGGCCATGGTGAACTTTTAGGCGGAGACAGTGAACTATTTGTTCCTTTCTCATCGATCCCTTCAGATATCCTCATGAGAGTGTACAGAGGAGCCCCGTGCCAATGAGGAAGCAAATTTGTCCACTGTCTCCGCCCACACCATCAGCGTAGGCTGGCCTTCATTTGCTTCTCTATTAATTTCACTCAATATTGTTCGATGCTTTTTTACAGCATATTATTCTGCTCGAATTGTTCAAGCAAGGAATCAGAACGTCTGAACTATACGCATGTGATTGGGGATCGGCTGTATTTGTTCGAACCACTCTTTCTTGAGGTATACCAAATAGGGCAAACCAGGCGCTGTTTGTCGACGGGGGGGGGCATTTTGTACTACCATTGCTTCCCTAGTTCCGGTTTACAAATCTCACCCTGGTAAAACTTGTGAACCTTGTGAAGCTGGTGCAGGATCGTCTAGCCACCATCCTAAAACGTGTCAACTCGAGAAAAGGCTACCTAGATGGGTCGGCACATCTATGGAAAGCAGAA